TACAGAGAGTTAAAAAGGTAATTTTACCAGTCTTGGTAAAATAAATGGCCATAGTCTAAAAAGTCTGAAGTCTACTTTCCATCACTGGTACATAGATTTGACAGTGCTTTAACACTGGCCACACTGACAGAAAAGCTTCTAATTACTTTAAACCCATATGAAAGGTCTTTCCATTCAGAGGCAAGTTTTTAATTTGTTTACATTTTCAAAGTTAGACGAATCTATAACTCCATCATTCACAATCATTGAACTTGTCTTTTCCCTGTTTTCTGTGTGTTTTGCAGAAAGAATATATTGGAGTTAGAAATGTTGAGTGCAGTCAATATTATGTACTGCTCTCTTTTGGTTTAAAGCTGTTTAATGCTATATCATACTGTATTCAGGATAAGTATGATTCTTACAGTTCTGAACCTCCTCACCCAAATACACATTTTCTACTCTCCCTAAAAAAAAACAAAAAAAAACAAAAAAAAAAACACCCAAAAAAACCCCTATCAAGTAAGGTACCTCCTTTTCTTTTCTTTGTGATATTTGTTTCACAGCAAAGTATAAACTGTATTATGTGTGCACAGGTCCTTAGCTGTAGTAGCATAACCTGTGTTAACATTTAACTCTTCAAACTGTGATGTAGAGGGTGGTCTGAAATAATCCTCATTTTTCAGACTTAGTTCAAAAGTTTCCCAGCAATCTAGACAAACCTGCATTTTTTTTCTCTTTGGAGAGAGAGGGAAGCAAAATGAATTGCAGGGAAGAGGTGGTGTTAATGCAGGAGTTTAGGGGAACTAGGCAGGCCCAAGAGCTGTAGGGACGGGGGTAGGGATAGGAGTTAGAGCATCTCTCTACCTGCCTGTAAGTGTGCCTTGCTAAAGCACTCAGTCTGCTGAGGTTGAAACTTGCAAGTACCCTTCTTCCCTAATGAAGTGATGGGCAAATGACTGGTTCTTTACCCATAAATACTCAGGAACAAAACAGTCACTTCTTGAAATTTGTGAATTAATGCTAAGCCATTTATTGAGGATGATTTCTTGAGAAAGACATTTTAATTAATTATAAGTTATCAAAAAATGTGGAAGAATTTTGCATTTTGTATGTTGGCGTGAATAAATAGATCCCTTGAGAGACAGACAGAGCAAGTCACTTGGAATGCACCAGTCAACAGCAGAAATGTAAACATACTCCAGCTATGCTTTCTGAACTTGTATTTCAGCATGTCACAGAACAAAACTTCTATTAATGCAGGCTGACTGCTGCACTTGTTGAATTAAATAATGAGTTCCTCTCAAAATGCAATTTAATTCACAGACCATGGATCAGAACCACATTGTGACTGACTCTGGAAGTCCAGGAGGGCAGGACCTTGCTGCAAGGAGTCTCTGCTCTATCTTAAAATGAGATGTATGAAGTTGGTTTGCAGAGCTGAGTAGGCTTAGAGTAAGAGCAAGCAAATAAAATTCTGAGGTCAGCAGGTCTTTGTTCCAGCATGTTTGTAGAACCTTATCTCTGAGACAGGTAGATCTACCATGTATTTTATCTTCATCTGGTACGAGTTGAAATGAAATAGCATCTCCTAAGACTATTACTTCATGAATTGTTAAAATTACCAAAAATACCAGACTGTTAGAATTCTAGCCTTTAAAAAGTAGCAGTTTATTGAAAAAAACAGTGTAAAAATCAAACACAATTCCATTGATTGTACTGAAACTATCCTTACTCCCACAGCTGTAGGGGAGCAATTGTCTGTGCTTCCTCATCATATCTCTTGATGCTTTTTGTTTAACATTTTTTTGCCATTGCGATAAAATGAGCTTGGGGCTTTTTTGTAAGGGGTGTATAGCACTGATACTGAGAAGAAGGCTTGATTGCACACAGAAGTGTTTAAGATCTATGCTCCAAGAGACCCAACTATAGGGAAAGCAGAGTTGACATGCAGCAATCTTTAACTTGTGCTGGTGAAATACTTTGCCAAATGGAACGTCCTTCACTAAAAAAGGCTTCTTATAGCACTTTGTTTGGCTCTTTTTCTTTTGATTGGACTGTGAGGTACCTCAAAAGCAACCTTTGGATATTGAGCTGCATGGCAACATTCCCTTGCTCAATTGTTTCCATTTTGCATCCTTTACAGGTCCTTCTTTGGCACTGTGGAAGTCGCTTCTTTCTTTAGTTGAAGGTTTATTATAAGTGAAATGAATTATTGCATCCTCTTGCCTGGTCTCAAGGTTGTGAGGTACAGCAAATATGTTCCTTTAACATGACAGACATTGTAGTACAGCACAGTCAAATCAAACTTTGAGCAATACCTTCTTTACGTATTTAAAAATAAAAGGTAAATATCAGTTGAATGAGGCAGATGAATGTTGATTGCTGAATGTTTATAGACAGTTTTGAGATGGTCAGAGGCAAGGTCCTGTGCAAATGCAATATTTTATTAAAATATTTAATAAGCAGATTCTCTGACCCAATAGAGGGAACAAAGACGCCTGTCCACTCTTAATTTTCCCTACCCCTAATTATTTCTACAGAATATAAATTACATCTGGTATAGCTTTATTCTGTTTTCAGAGGATAATTATACTAGGAACTCCAGCGTCCTTTCTGTGGAGGGACCTCTTTCTCAGAAACCACACCTTTTAGCAGTCTGTTTTTCATTTGAGAAGGGCTGGATTTCCATTTATGTCAACACATTTTTATGGGATAGCTATTTTCAAGAGATGGATACAGGTAAATTGGCAAACCCCTTACTCACAAATAATAATAATAATAATTCAGTCTGGAAGATGTATTGTAAGCTGATGATATAGGAGTGAAAAGTTTTTTTGCATGTGTAGTCTGTTAGAGATGACTTGTAGTTTCATACCTGCTATTGTAACTGGGAGAGAAGCCAGTAATTCCTGTTGTAGTCATCTGAGCATCTTCAGTTCTGTGTCCATGCTGCAAGGGAACTTGGACTTGGTGTCAGATGAGGCAAGGCAGGATGCAAAGTGGACAGTACCAGTTGCTCTGTGTGTGAGATTGGAGGCTTTTATGGATATATTTACATAATATGTAACGAGTTTAATAAACTGGAAGTCAGTGTCCTAAAGTGAGGTTCACAACCCACTTCTAACATACCAGGAGGTGAAGTTTTCCATTCTCCAATGTTACGGATCGGTGGACCCGCTATACTTGCAATTTTGTAAGAACATATTGTTTCAGAAATGTTCCAACTTTCTAATCATCTTAGTCATACTTCACTGCTTTAAACCATCCACAAGTTGCAAAATTATAATGTTGTGTGAATAATTTTAGTAAGGAGGTAGCAGCAGGGAAACTGAATTCTGTTTAAAAAAAATCCCATTCAAGTCTTACTTCTGCTGGAAAAGTTTGTTTGTTTTTTCATGTAGCTGTGGTGTACTCAGGGCTTTTTTTTTTTCATCGTTGCATATGCAAAATCCAGACCTGCAGAACTGTTCCATGTGGTGAACAGTCTGCTAAACCCAGACTGTTTTGCCTGAGTAGCAGATTTCCATATACCTCATTATGAGTTTGGGATTTTTTTGATTTATGTAGGCTCGGTTCCTTCAAAGGGATGCATGACTGTAGACCTTTATACCTACCAAAGTGGTTTCTTATCAAGTACTGAGGAAAATAAGAGGCCAGATCCTGTTGGAGAGTAAGAGACTTGTTTTGCAGAGAAGAAATTTTCTTTCTAGCTGGTGTAATTTGTCATGGAAACAGCATGTAAACAGGAGGCCACCCAAAGTAACTTAGCTTTTGAAGCATTTTTATGGTGTCCAAGTTGCTTCTGGATGGTTAATGAATTATGTAATCCACAGTGTATAATGCAAATTTTGATTTGGTAAGGAACTATAAAGAAAGATTTAGGTCAGTGCTGCTAGAAGGAAGTAGCATGGACTTTACCTCGTCGTTGCCTTATACAGCCTGATTTAAATAAGTGTTAGATCTTTCCACACCAAAGAAGCCATTATCCTGAGTAATAGCAGGTGTGCTTCAGTCTTCTGTCCTTTGATAGAGGCAAATGGTTAAGCTGCCTAAATACATCTCTGAAGTTACCTTATTTCTGTGAATTCCTACCATTCAGTCCAGTATGTGCACGGACAGAATTAATGTCCTTGTTTTTGTCATTTCCTACTGGGCATGAACAAAATCATAGAATCATAGACTATAATCATAAACCAACGTAGATGAGCAAGAAGGAGCTTATCTGGCCAAGCCACTCCTCAGAGCAGGGCCAGCTCATGGCCCCTGTTGTTCAGCTGAGCTTTGAGCACCTCCGAGGACATAGCACCACTGAGCCCCACTTCAGAGAAGCCTCTGACTCCACCATCTCTATAATTTTCCATTAGATAATTGAAGGCATCAATATGCCTTCAGCTTCCCTCCTCAGTATCCCCCCCCCCCCCGCAGTGTTCTCTGAAGGCTGAACAAACCCATTTCTTTCAGCATCCTCCTTACATCATCATGTACCTGATAATCTTTCTGGCTCACTGACCCCTTGATTTAGTAGGTTAACATCTGTGTTCTATTGGGAAGTCCAAAACTGGAGTCAGTGACGTGATTGATATTTGCATCTGGCCATCTATGACTCCTCAGTCCTAATTATTTTGATTATTCTTAGCTGGTTTGACTGAAGGTGGGTTTTGGAACAGCTAAGGACTTCAGGTCCTCTCCTCCACTACTAACAAGATAATCTGAACTACAGTACTCCACATCTTACTGATGAGGGCTAAGAAACAGAACTGTTCACAATGAAAAAGATATTTCCTGAAAGAATGTTTTGCATTAGTGATACTCTTGATTTCAGTGGTTAATTTGCAGTGGGTCACGTTATAACCTGTTTTTATAGATGGTATCACTCAATACTTTTTATTATCACCACAACATAAAATATACTTCCTCTTGGCCATCTGACATCAAGAATAGGGAGAGGACTATGCAGAAATAATTTTCAAATCCCAGAGGCTGTGCATGTAATGTATTCTTAAATTAACTTATTTTTCTAGTGCACTTGGAGGATCATCTGCCCTTCACATCCCAGCCTTTCCTGGTGGAGGTTGTCTCATCGACTACGTACCCCAAGTATGCCAGCTTCTAACAAACAAGGTAAGCTGCTGCACACAATCAGTTTTCCTTTCCCTGATGCACTGTACTGCATTTCCACAGACATCATTATTCTTCTGCCTGGTATGCAAAGCAAGGCACACTTAAGCTGAACTACACAAGGAATACCTTCTTGGTAAGAGCTGAGTACCCAAGCATGACATTGAATAGAATGACTCCTTTAGGTAAACAAGTGAGTTTAGGATCAGATCCTGGAGCAGTTTTTTTTTTTGCTGTGACATGCCATGATTTAGGATAAAATGTTACTGTATTGTACAATACTGCATTGCAGTATACTGGTTTTTAGTAAATACAGATGTGTAGTTTGCATATTATTGTTCTAGTTGCAAGTTCTCATACCCCAGTCATTATTGTAGGTTTTGAGTACTTTCCGTGATTTTTCTTCTCAGATGTTTCCTCCAGATGAACTGAATCAGCAGTTTCTTTGGATGTTTATACAGTAAGAGCTACTTAAGGTTGCTGAAAAGGTTGTGTTCCAGTTAGCTTACTGTTTAAACAAAAAAGAACAATTATAGTATTTTGAAAGTTTCTCCATTATTTAGGTATAATTTTCAAAAGAAGGCTTAGGGGGTCAACATTTAAATATTGACCTATTACAGACTTCCTACTTGTATATTATATTTACCTTCAATTGTCTAAATGAAGAGAATAATTTTATCTTTTAGAAAAAGTTTCTTCAGAGTGTGTTTCCATAATTATGTTGGAATCTATCATTAGAGTTGTTTTTGTTGTGGTTTTCTGTTAAAATTACTTTCTGTTTCTAAAATCTGCAGGCACACTGGGCTGTTTTTATCCTTTCTTAAACGAAGTCACTTAAGCAAACTTATCGTACGTTTTCCTCTTCCCAGAATAACATTTCAGATCCTACACAAAGCCTTCAAAATAATCTTAGTGTTTTATAAAATACAATGTTTGAGTTTATAAGTAGAATTTAAGTTATATAAGACAGCTCTCAGCAATGGTTGTATCAAGACTTTTTCAGTAATTTTAGGAAAGCATTTGCCAGCCAAGGAATTCTAGTATTGCTATAGCCAAGAAAATACTCTTCCTGTTCTTTTCAGTGAGGGAGAAAAGGATCTTAAAATGCTAGTTTTGGTTCTGGAAAGCACAGTTACACAGGGAATCACATATAGAACCATACCATAAGTACTTCCAAGCCACCAGTTGTAAACCAGATGTCCTTGCAGCCTGGTGACACATGCATTGGTTTTGTTATGGGTCAAACCCTGCTCACACTGTTCTCTTAAGCGATGCCATCCAAATCTACAAGAAAACATACGTGGTGTGAGGAGAATTTTGCCTTAAGTCTCCAAATTTAGCATTGTTGGATTTTGTCTGTGCCTGGATGGAAGTCTTTCAAAACCCAGAGTGCCTCAGAAACTGATGCTCGCAGTTGAGTAGGTGGCTCCCTGAGTCAGCATGAAACCAGTGAAAGAGCTTAGTGTTCAGAAGGTTTTGTTGGAGGTGCAGTCTTCAGAAAACACCCAAGATCAGTTATGCAAGAAATTTAATTTTTTCTTCTCTTTTATAACCAGAATGTTATTTTGACACTTAGCTTACTGTCAGTTCAGATGACTGATTTGAAGTTTGAGTAGAAATCTGATTTTCAGATTTCTACTCAAACTTCAGTAAGGCAAGGATGAGCATTTCTTTCTTTCAGTGTTTGTCTCATGCAGTTAAACAGTGCTTCAGTCTATTGTGAAAGACTTAAGTTTCACTTAGACATGATTGAAGAGATTTCTTTACAAGATATTCTGTACGCAAGATCCAGAATTTTTTTCAAAGGATTCTTTAGGGAAATCATGCTAAATGTAGAATTCAGAAATTCTGCCATGTCAAACATAAATCTTCCTTAACAAGAAATGTATGACAAACTGGGCTTTGGGTTTTTTAATCTTTTTATAGCTCTGGATTTATTTTCTTGCTTTTTTAAGGTACAGTATGTTATTCAGGGATACCATAAGAGAAGAGAGTACATTGCAGCTTTCCTGAGTCACTTCGGAACGTAAGTTTTCTTCCGATGCTTATTTTTCTGTAGTGTGGGGGAGACTCATTTTTTGCATATGGTTTGTGGTTGTGTGGCTGCTGTCCACTGGATGAGATGAAATCTAGTCATTTCTCACAGAATGATGTGTACAGATTGTCGCTCTGTAGCAATACTGGAATGTACTTCAGTATTATTTCACTTCTGTGCCAGTGGCCAATCTGATTTTTCTGGAAAATAGGTGATGATGGGAAAGGGACAGTAGGGATTTTCCTTGTGCAGAAGAAGTATGTTCACTTCTGAATCAATTACTTAAGGGGTTTTACACTAACAGGCAGTGACTGAGGTGGGAAAATGGGGAAGCAGGTGTGGTTCCAAGCCTTGCAAGAGCCAGAAAGCCCTGCTCAGTGTAAATGCAGGGCTGGGAGACCAGCTGCTCCCACCAACAGCCAGTATTTTGTGTCTCAAGAGAAGAGGCTCTTGGGTCATGTTGCATTCCTGCAGATGAAAGGTGCATGGCCAGGCATGATGACACATTTGCTTCACAAATCAATTAGTCAGGGCTACTGTGGCACTGTGAAGGGTTGGCACTTTGGTTTCCTGCCTAAATTGAGCTGGAGTCTACGCCTTTAGCTAATTGTGATGAGGGGTTTCTGCTTCCAAGGGAGCCCTTCAAATCTCAGGTCTCTCAAGTGAGGTTAGGAAAACAGGTGGCTTCTAGCATGCACCCAAATTTAATACCATGATAAATAGATAACAATAACTTCAACTGAACATATGAGTAAACAGTCAGTGCAACCTCAATCTTTATCAAGACATTTCATTTTCTTCTAAGAAAACTCTATTATAGAAGTGGCCACATGTTCCTCTGATTATATGACATCTGCCTTGTGGTTCATGAGTTCTGATACTGCTTCAGACAGAATACCAGCTTCTGATGGTTGAAACTCTTAATCCATCTGTCAAACAAGTATTCTATATGAATTTTTTGTTATGATCTCATGTTTTATGTTTTTTATATGTACTCTTCCAAATTTTCAAATTTAAACTCTTCTCAGCCTGCTTATTTTCAGTTTTAACCTCTCACTCACTACAGAAATGATATATAATCTTCATTTGAGTAAGGTGCAGGGGATTTGTGTGTCTAGAGTTTTTATCAATTTAGGACTGCAGATGTGGTAGCAGGTCTTCTTTCATTTAAAAGTGCATTTTAAACTGAAAATGGCCTTTCTTTGGGTAACAACCTCTAATACCTCAGCATAATTAAGACTATTACTGACATTAAAAGTTTAATCTAATTTACGATTAGCTAGAAAACTGTAACTGGTAATGAAAAAAGCAAATCCTGGAAGATTCTGAACAAACAAACAAAAATAACAATTCCCCTATTACAAAATTCACATATTCATCGTCTAGTATTTGAAGATAAAAACTGTACTAATTTTTTGTTGTGTTTTTGTTGATAGTGGTGTGGTGGAATATGATGCAGAAGGATTCACAAAGCTTACTCTGTTGCTGATGTGGAAAGATTTTTGCTTCCTTGTTCACAGTGAGTAACACTTTGCCTCAGGCATAAATGTCTATCCTCTGAAGATACAAGTTCAAAAGGGAAAATGTACAATTACAGGAAACAATTTAAAAGTTTTAGCTATTTTTATCCAGTGCTTAATCTATTTTTGATGTGACTTAGAAAACACAAAATCTCAATTGTATCTAGAGAAGGGGAGAGGATGCACACCAATACTGAAATGTTGGCTTTACAAAATGCCAAAAGGATCTTGGAAAGGTTTTCTGGTAATTTGACTCAAGATTTGAGATCACTGTTGTAACTCAGCTTTTCTAAAGTGTTAGTGATGAAGACTCTACCTAGGAATACCTAAAATCATCTGTAACTGTCAGGAGTTAATGCATTGATAACAACTGTAAAGACACTTTTGTAGAAAAAATATATCACATAAGAAATAACAGCACATTATCATCAGGATTCAAAACTTATTCCTAGACTGAAACTGTGTAGGCAAAAACTGTCCTAACAACGTAGCTAGGTTTGCTGTTGTTTAAAATTTTTAAATGAAGATTGTATTACCATCAGAACCACATTATTAATTTAAATATATAGGAATTACTCCATGTGGAAATTAGTAAATGTGGCTTTGATACTGCCTTTTACATATTACTTTAAGTTTCAATTTCTGTTTTTCCTTGTGGTAAGGTGAAATTCACAGGTATCAAAGATACTTTGATCTGAGGAAATTCTATCACGTAATTCTTTAGATTTGATTGTTACGCATCTTAATTTATGTTTAAAATTATTACGCTGCAATTGTGCTGCAATTTGTGGGCAGCTGCAGCACTGGTATTTGATAGCATTTTAGCACTGGAGTCTTTCATATTACATAATTTTTTGTTGTGGGCTAGCTTTTCATGTGGAAGATTCATGCTGTCTTGATGATGTCACAAAAATTTGTCCCAGAGTTTTTAATGCAGAAAGTCAGGATTGCCATTGTTCGGAGAGGTTCTTCACCCTGTGTTGTGTTGCAGATCATAAAAAATGGTCTCACTAATCCCTTTCCTTCTATGCCCTAAGATTAGCTCACCACACACTAATGATCTTAAGAATCATTAATGATCTTAGAAAACTCAAACCTGAAATTAAAGCTCTTCCATCATGTTATTATCATTTATGCTGGGAGGAAAACAGAATTGAAGTGGTATCTTTGGGAAAATTATCCTCATTAAGTCTTTACTTAAATTTCAACTACAGTGGAGAACTGGTCACTGGACAGTTGTCTTCTATGAGACGACACTTCTTTATGTGCAGCCTTCCTGAAGATTTCCCACCTTTCTTACTCCCCAACATATCTGGGTTAATTTAATCAATGTTAAAATTCCTGTGGATTTGATTTGTGCTCTGAGATAATATACCTTAATACATGTTGAATCACTTAGATTTCAGAGGAATGAAAATTCAAATTTCTGCTAAATAACAGAGCAAGTTTTAACTGTGTAATATTCATGGTATTCAATTAAACTGGCCTGAAAGCTACAATTATAACTGAATAGTTTATCACTATGTATTAACCCTGTGGCCTTAGAAATCATACAGTGGCTTAGCTGTGTAAGCCATTGCATCACTCACTTGTTGAACAGTTCAGTGCAAAAGCATTTCTGGTCCATGCACTGAAGGATATTGCAATGAAAGGACCAAAACCTGCACTTCATTTCCTGAGTGAAGTAATGTAGGCTTTCATCTCCTAACCACTGACATAACTATGTATATTAGGCTTGAATATTTAGCAAGCATCTAATAAAATGTCTGGGAGAGATAGCAATAAGTTGAAAACTGTTCTACTTTATATATTTACTATAGTATGTAGCTAGAGTATTCAGAGGAGAGTAAATAGGTCAGTATACAGCAAGCACTGTGGTATTTCAAATGAAAGGCACCATATTTATTGGCATCTAAATTTTGGTAAAATTTTAGGTTTGAAGTTGCAATTTAGATGAGATTTATAAACACTAACATGAATTGTATTTCCTTTAGAAGATGGATTCAGAGGTTTCCAAAATAACTTTGGCATTGTTTTGCAACTGTTTGCATTGGGAGTTACAAACTTGTTTGGACACTAGGAAGCAAAAAACAGAATAAGTTGAAAATATTCAGAATAGTTTTATTGAGTAAAGTGAGTTAAAGAGGAGAGGAACAGAAAAATAGTTCTGAATTTCTGAAGCCAAATAACCTTAGAACAACATCATATGCTAAAAAGAAAAAGACTGGTGCTGTAGTTATAGAATGAAGACCAGAGTCTACACATTCTGCCTTAAAACACCGAGGAGCTACCTAGCTGCAAACTTAATCATTAGACTAATGAAGCTGCTGGAGTTATTATATTAGACCAAAGACTAGTCCAAGGAACTGTTTCTTTAGTGGTTTAGGTTTCAGAATTAATCAAGTGCTTTCAATTAAAAGACAGAAGAAATAAACATTTAGAGAAGTTCATGCATCCACATGGGAAAGGAAATCGTTAATCAGGCTTACTGCTTTTGATACTGATAATGTTTATGAGTAAGTCCCAGTATGAAGCTTTGTAAGTAAACTTCAGTAGACTGCTCGCTTTTCAATAGACTTTCTCTTCTTGTTTATAAATCAGCTATGATTAGTTTTTGGAGACAGGTATTTCCTTGTATTCTTGTTCTTGTATACAGTTTATATATTTATACCATATATAAATTATAGTATCATTTGTGTTGGAAAAGACCTTTAAGGTGAAGTCTGGCCATTGATGAAATAACCAGTCAATATTAGATGAAGACACAAGTTACATTATCTGTGCATAATTAAGAATTAAGTAGCATTATTGTTATAAACACAAGAGTAGAGCTCTGAAGCAACCTGTATTTGGGCTTTTCAAAGATTAATTTTATCTTGCAAGATCTTTAGGTTATCAGCACTAAAGAGATGGACAGAAGCTGGACCAGTATGCAGTAGCAAATGAAACACTGCTTGTGTTAGTGGTTGTTTAAGATGTCTTGAAAAGGACAAACATTAAACTAAAAAGGATTGGTTTCACTGAACAATATTTTAGGGGGTAGAGAATGTTGAAGGCTGGCAGCATTTATATTTCCAGTTTGTTTGGGATCTCAGTCAAGGTGAAGTTGGTTGGGGATATTTGCTGGAAATGACCTTGGCTGACTGTAAGGGATTTCAGTTTCTGAGTGGATAATGCCACTGACCCAGGAGTTCCAAAGTGCTGGTCATGTAAAAGCTTGAGTTTAAATGGTGATTTTCTTGCTGTGGGAATGCCAACATAAGTAGCTTTTTGTCTACCCTTGTACTACTTGTCTGTGCAGTTTGGTGGTTGTCTGTGGTAGAGGATAGATCAGAAACAGCATCCCAGCAAGAAGAAAGTTTTGAAACGAGAGAGCAAGCAAGCAAGGGACCTAAAGCGTTAGTTGGCTAAAGGGAGACTGTACCTTATGAGTGTCAGGCTTTGGGTAGGCACCTGCTTCTGGATTCAGGGGTTTTTGGTGGATGTTACCAAGACCAGCTTCTGATGCATTCTTGTTTGAATATTGCTGTCTGCACATGTTTGTCAGTCTTTTCAAGAAAAGTTACAAGTATAAAGTACAAAACCTTGTCTGCCTGAGCCATGTCCTAAAAAAATAGGCTAAGTATTGAGTGGAATATTTACATTAGATTGTTTCTGTGAGTTTTTATCTAATGAAGTGTTTTAGCTTTCTTATATAATGCTGTTATTTTATTGTTCTCATTGTTTCTTAAATTAAAATGGGAATTTATGACTCTGAAAACTAAAGAAGGTAAAAAGAGAACATCACCATGTAAATAACAGGGAGGTATCTGGTCCTGTCAGGAAAGCAGGATAGCTCTGCAGAAATGCCAAGCATAACGAAATAAATGTTTCAGGAGTCTAGAATGAGAAGTTCCATGCTCATCAAAACAATCTGTAAATATTGTATAAGACTGTCTTTTCATTCTTGAAAAGAGAAACTGTAGATTAACAAAGCCCCAGTGATGTAAAAGTGGCTAGAGAAAATCAAATTTGGATCTTATGCTTGGGAATAAGTGTCTTTCTTTTTGGTAGTCTTCTCCTCTGACTCAGTGTTTTAGTTGGTTCTATGTATTTCTTTGATTTTTGTCTTGAGAGTTTCTGAAAGCATGTTCTGCCTACAGCAAAATATACCGTGAACTGACCAGATTTCTTCAAAACTTTGTACATTGTTCCAGTCCCTCAGAGCAAAGCATTCCCTGGGCCTCCTCCTGTGCAGTGAGGTGTCTCTTGCTTACTGAAGTCAGTGAGAACTGCAGGCACACTGCAGTGCTGTGGACAGGCAGTGTGATGGAAAAGTAGCCTGAGTCACAGGCACACTAAACTAGGCATGGGCTCAGGCAGGGGCTAATCACAGGACTCAATTGTAGCATTTGGAAAATTAATGAGTCTTTTGCTGATCATTTGTCTCCATGGTGTATTTTTGTCCTTTTTTTCTAAGGGATACTGCCAGGTAGATTTAGTTTGAAATTTTTATTGAAAGCTGGTAATTTTATTTTAGACATTAAGAGTGCTTTAAACATTTTGTTCCTTTGATTCCACCTTGGCTATTTACTTGTATGTGAGCCAAATGAGACTTTTTTTTATATAGGTATTCATAATGGATGCAAGTGAATCTGAAAAGTGATTTTCTTTTCCTCTTTTTCTGTTTCTCTAGGTTCATTTTGTTTTCATGTCACTCAGAATAAGCTAGTTGTAGGTTCCTATTTGTAATTACAGAAAAAGGGAGAATGGACAGCAGAAAGCTCATAAAACTTGGTATGGACAGCAACAAACAGGAAGCAACAGTTGTGATACTAATTAGGCTTTATAGGAATCTTATAGATGGCCTGATGTGGGTGGACTGGCAAGGTATTTTAAAATGTCATTTTGCTGTGGATATTACTTTTTTAATTTCTGAGAAACACGTGTGTTTGCCACACTTTTAAAACTGTAGTGTATTGCTGCAGACATTAATTGACGTTCTTCCAGCAACTACAAG